GAAGAATGGATAAAAATTAGCAGAATTTTAAACCCGAAGGAGAATTTGTTCTGTCAACGACAGTTAGGGACAGGCTCATAGGATCACGTAGAACAGGTTACCCAGAATTTGAGACCAGATCTGAGACCAAAATTTGTTTAGAATTAAACAAAACAGTACTGTGGATATGGGGAGAAAAAAATGACTTTACCAAGGGTCAAATATAATTTTAAGGTTGGTTAGAAATAGATACAATGAAATGGGAAACAGATATATTTAATTAAAATGGAACTCAACAAAGCCTTAAAGACAGAGAATGAGATAAAAAATTACTATGAGAATAAAGTGAAACAAATGGACGAATGTGTCAGGAGAGAAATTAGCAAAAGCAATAACGGACAAAAATATAGGTATACAAAAACTGATTATGGTGATTTTTCTTATGCTAATTTTTGTGACAAAGACGGAGAAAAAATGGACTGTGATGACTTCCTTAATGTTACAGATCCATTCACAGGGAATAAAACAAGCAAAACCTTAAGTATAAAAAGGAAATTATATTTAAAAGACTGAACATTTACAGAAGAAAAAATAAGAATTAATATAGGAATAATTTAGTTTTCTTTAGTGATGCCGTTTTTGGATTAACAGGAAATTAATGTGGAAATGTTATTGATAATGTAGAAGATTTTAATTTATTAAAATGTAAATTGTTCAGGTATAACAGGTGTGAATGTGGCCATTTATGTATTAAGTTATTCTACTATTATAATCATGTGTATTTGCCTACAGGTATAGAAATCTGTATGAGAATGGAATGTGCAGACATAAGGTGAAGTACATGATAAGCACATGATGGCACATAAATGGGGCCCTTATTTTCACAGAACATAAAATTAATGCCTCATGACTGCATCGTGATTATCCCATAACAAATATAAATGAAACCATTAAACACACCTAGAGAACAAACAATATGTAAGAGAGTACAGAAAAAGAATCGGCAGATTGCTCTGCAGAGTTCTCTCAGGTTTTATTGTCTCTGAAAATAAAATCTCTTCTGGCATCAAAACTCCAAGACTCTGAGAAAGATTCTTCACAGCAGCGGCAGAAGCCACCACATATTGACGCCCAACGTGGGGCTAGAAAGGAGCAGAGGGTGGAGAACCACTTTGGGCTGGCTTGACGAACAACATTTTTAGTGGCCACTAAATAATAAAGGTAGGCAGTTTTTTTGCTTATATAATAAATGTTGCTTGCCAAAGTCAGCCAGTGGTGGTATAGACACTCGAAAATGCTCCTCCAAATTTAAAGAACAAAAAGAAAAAGGGTTTTGATTCCAGAAGAAATAATACCATGCACTGATCTGTTTTACTATAATAGTAAATTAGGGCAGATTGTGCATGCAAAAATCTGTGTTTACTGCCCAGAGGGCCTTGATGGAGGGCAGTGGACGCTAAGCAGATATACATTGCATGCAGGGATCTGTATTTTTTGCTAAGTGGGCCTTTGAAGGATAGCAATAAACATTAAGCAGATATTAAAGTCTATCTTCTGGCATCAAAACCCCAAGACTTGAAGAATGATTCCTTACAGCATCGGCAGAAGCCACCACATTTTGGCGCCCAACGTGGGGCAGGAAAGGAGCAGAGGGTGGAGAACCACTTTGGGCTGGCTTGACGAACAACATTTTTAGTGGCCACTAAATAATAAAGGTAGGCAGTTTTTTTGCTTATATAATAAATGTTGCTTGCCAAAGTCAGCCAGTGGTGGTATAGACACTCGAAAATGCTCCTCCAAATTTAAAGAACAAAAAGAAAAAGGGTTTTGATTCCAGAAGAAATAATACCATGCACTGATCTGTTTTACTATAATAGTAAATTAGGGCAGATTGTGCATGCAAAAATCTGTGTTTACTGCCCAGAGGGCCTTGATGGAGGGCAGTGGACGTTAAGCAGATATACATTGCATGCAATGGTCTGTGTTTAATGATGAGTGGGCCTTGATGGACATCAATGGACGTTAAGCAGATACAGTAAACGAAAGCGTGCAAAGTCCTATAGCTAGGCAAAAAATCCTGCAGAGTGCTGTTTTTTACTGTGTTGAGGAAGTGTATCAGTGAAAGAGCGAGTAGAACTGACAGGTTACTCAGGAAGAGTATAGAGTTGTCTGTGTAAATGTATGTATCTGTGTCTGTCTGAGTGTATTTGTGACTTGTGGTTGTATGAGAAAATAAACTCTATATCTGGTGGAGCAAAAGGTGTGCCCCTCCTGGACACAGCTGGAGTTGTGCTGGAGGAGAGTGAATGAGTCTGTGAGCCCTAAACAATAAAGAGACTTGTATGAATGTTGTTTTAGAAAAAAAGTATTCCAAGATATGGACTTGGCAGATTATTGAAATAATAATAGATTAATTGAAATAAGATATACATTTAATATTTAAAGACTTGTCTAAACAGATTAATAAAAAGATTGCACATGCTTAAAACTTTATATTTAATAACTGAAGACTTCTAAAATTTGTATCTTGTTATCCCTGGGACACAGTATGAAAATTAATCCACTACAGAGTTTCAGAGATTTGGGCTTGAGTTAACTAAAAGATAACTGTGTAGTGCGATGTTGAATAAGAGCAAAATTGGGTGACTAAGTTCATATAAATTTTGATTCAAAAGCTATTTTACAATAATAATGGAACTTGTTGATTAAATATTTTAATATAAAATAATAGGAATTATTTTATGTTGGTTGGGAAAAATTAATTCACCATTGCCAGATTATTCTGAATTATGTATGGAAATATAGAAGAAAAATTATGATTGAAGTCTTTATTTTACCATACGCATGTCATGCTGTTGTAAAAGGAAGGGTTATTTTGTTTTAATGCAGTATACTTAGATAATAAAGGTAGATTACTGCTGCTTTCTGCATTTTGCAAAGAAAAAACTACTTGCTATTTTTCTGCAATGAAGAACTTGCTTTAATAAAATAGGATAAGGGAACTACTGTTTTTAAAGACATCTCTTTGGCCAAGCATTCAAATAATGCATCTCATAATCTTGTACTGCAGTTATATCTGATCAAATGCACATTATTATTCTTTAGTTTGGGTTAAACAAATCAATTTTGCTTGGTTGGAACAGCAGCTATGCTAATTATGTCTCTATTTGTTTCTCTGTTTTTGCCATGGGATGATTTACACAAGCTTCAGTCTGGATCCAGAACACCGGAGAAGAGATGATGCCAACCCTGAAACAACATACAGAACTACCACATTTTGCTATAAGTTTGATTGCATCATATAATAATTGCTGTTAATAGTGTTCATTGTCTGTTTTATTACGTCTTTAATAGATTTTTCCGTACATTTCTGCCATATGTACATTAATTGACAGTCACCACTGATAAGCTACCACTAAATATTGTAGAAACTTAATTTGCTATAAAGTTGCTTTGCAATGATTTGTATCGTGAAAAGCGCTGTACAAATAAACTTGACTTGACTCAGGAGGCCATGGCGGATCAGGAGACTCAGGAGGCCATGGCGGATCTTCTGTGGACTTGGTTGGCTCGGCCACAGGCATATGGCCCCCCCGCAAATCTTCTTGGGAAAATCTAGGAATCCTGGGGGTTGCTCGGGAAGAGCGGGCTCTGGTGGGCGCTCTGGAGGCGAAAGAGGGCTGGACAGGACCAGCGGAGGCGAAGGAGACGAAAGAGAGCTGGACAGGACCAGTGGAGGCGAAGGAGAGCTGGACGGGACCAGCGGAGGCGAAGGAGATGAAGGAGGCTCAAAGAAGCGTGTTAGAGCGGTTTCTGGGGTGAGGACGGGTGCCGAGAACCCCGGGGGCAGCGCCATGTCCATTATCGCCGATTGACATGCTGAAGCGAGCTCTGGGGCTGGAGCCCGCACGGAGCGAGCTCTGGGCTGGAGCCCTTCCTGGGCAGAATGGGGGATCAGGAGCCCTCCGTCGGCTATACTCGGGATCAGGAGCCCTTCCCGGGCTTAACTGGGGATCAGGAGCCCTTCCCGGGCTTAACCGGGGATCAGGAGCCCTCCCTGGGCTGAACTGGGTATCTAGGTAGCGCTTATGTGGTGCTGGCACTGGAGGGCGCTCTGAAGGAGTAGGCACAGCAAAGTGCTTTTGAGGAGTTGGCACTGGAGGTAGTGCCACATGAATGTCCGGCGGGCTTGAATTCCAAGCCGTCGGCCATCTTGACTGTGGTGAACCCGGCACTCCTGGGCAGAGCTTCGGAGGACCACGGGAATTTTGGGGTTAGGCAGGCGGTAGGAGCCGTTGGAATCATATGTGGAGGTTCTCAGCGTGGGGTGAGCTGGGGAGACGTGGCGCATTCCTGTGGGAGTTGGATGACGAGGTTTGGGAAGTCTCATTACTTCCTCAACTTCCATATCAGAGCTATTTAGGAATAGTACGAGGTTAATCAGCTCGATCAAAGGAAAATCACCTGTTGGGAGATCGCAGCGGATTATTTCGTCATCCAACCCCAGCAGGAAGCACGCACCTAGAGCAGCGTCGTGCCAACTCACCCGGTTGGAGAGCTCGAGGAAACCCTCCACATTTATTAGAGTAATAGACAGAAATCAAAAATGAAAAATTCTTCATGGACCTGCTTATATATCCACGAATAGTATATTAAGATATAAAGTCCCTAAAGGAGGACAAAATGTACAGTTAGCGAAACTTGACGCCATAGCAATTGATGACTGGGGTAAAGCAAATGATAAAACCTATTATTTAGGTTTGAACTGGATGAAAGATAATATTTGTAATACTAGTATAGAAATTTTAGGTGAACGAATAAAAGGAGGGCCATGATGGTATGAGGCACCAGAAAAATTTGTGAAAGAAGGTTTCTAGAAGTAACATTGATTAGAAATAGAAGAAATGTTTTTGATGTGTATATTGAAAAGAAATATAAAAGTGAAAGAATAGGGCCTCTCCTTGTGAGATGTGTTGAAGATAGAATCCCAAGGGGAGAACAAATGACGAGAGGAATTGATCTTATTTGGGAAATTCCAAGAGAGGGTGTTTTGGGATTTGATGATCCAATGAATATGAAATTTCCCTCCCCCAATCAATTCTCAATTGGATCCAAGGGAGCCAGAAGGACTGGAGCTGCAAGATTAAAAAACAAAAGAAGAAAGAACAACGCAGAGGAAAACAGGACAAAGCATCAGCTGCTGGAACATCAGGAGATCAGGAGAATATGCATTTTGCAACATATACTGTTGAAGGATGGAACTTCTTTCTAACTGTTGTGTTATACTATGTTTTTATCTTATCTCAAGAAATGTTGCTATGTAGTTTAGAAACTGCTATTTGCCTGGCCTACGCATTTAAGATGTTGTAATTGTTTAGATTAAAGTAGAGATAGATTAGCTTGCTTCTCTGAAAAGATGCTGCAATTATTCCATTTGATCCTATGCTACACTGAGTTTGCTAACTGTGTTAAAGGTTACACATCCTGCCTTGGGTAACCATAGCAACCTATGTCTCTGCTTACACAGAGAGTAATGCGTGTGTGTTTGTGTTCACTAAATATGGAAATACGGAAGGAGGAGACGTATTGTATTAATGCAAATTTTATGCATGACTAAAATTTGAGGAGGGTAAAACCTATCAATGCCAAAGTTGAAGCTGTCTGTAGTTTTCCCACTCCCACTACTTCGATGTGAGTTACAACATTTTCTCGGGATGGTGGGCTACTATAGAGGTTTTTGCCAGAACTTTGTGAATGTAGTTGCCCCTTTAACATATTTATTGAGCCCGAAGAGACCTTTTGAATGGTCACAACAGTGTCAATGTGCCTTTGATAACGCAAAGTTTCTTTTGGCCAATGCTCCTGTGTTGACGGCACCTAATTTTGAAAGACCTTTCTTACTTGTTGTTGATGCTAGTGCTTACGGCGCTGGCGCTGTTCTTTTGCAAGAAGACGCTAAGGGAATTGAACATCCAGTCAGTTGTTTTTCAAAAAAATTAAATCTTCTATGGTGGAAAAAGAGACTTTAGCCCTGGTCTTAGCCATTCAACATTTTGTGGTCTATTTAATTTCAGTCTGTGGACTTTCTTGGATCTAATGCGTGGCAAGAACCAAAGAATCATGAGGTGGAGCCTTGTTTTACAGCCCTTCCACCTACAGATTAAACACATTCGTGGCAAAGACAACCTAATTGCTGATGCTCTCTCGCGGCTGTAAGATATCTCCATAGTGTTGGGTATATCTTCTCTATCTCCTCTCTCTTTTCTTTCGTTTTGTTTTGTTGCTTTGTTTTCTTCCTTTTTTCTCTTTCTCTCCCATTAGTCTGGAAGTGAAATGGAGTGGGATTTGTGGAGATGAGTATTAATATTATTGTAAACTACAATGTCATTATATATTTAAATGGTTGTTTTGCTTGTGTATATTTTTTCCTTCTTTTGCTTTGTCGGTTCTTTAGATAATCTCCTTTTTGAGTGGGAGGTGTGACGACCCTGAGTCTATTCCAGGATACTATTGGGCACAGTGTGGCAGTTCCTAATTGGTCTTCTCTGCTAATTGTTAATTAATAGCATATATAAGTGTGTTATCTGTTGACTGAGATAGGACTCTGTGGGATGGTTTCTCAGAAGTGGCTCTGATTCAACATGTAAGATCTTGCTGATTCTCTAACATTTGTTCCCCTTTGCATTTCTTATATTATGTAGTTAAAGTTTTGTTGTCATATTTATTTCTTTGATTTTCTTTATTATCCCTAGACTTATGTTTATTATTGTTACTGGCTGCTGTTGTATTAGTTTAATTCAATAAAACAATTTGCATTGATGTCTTTTGTTGTTTGTTCCCTCTTTTATGGTGCGGCTTTAAAACGAGCTGATCGTAACAGTGAATGGAAAGCGGAGGGAGACCTTATTGACATATATGCCGACCTGCCCCGTCTCCTCCCTCCTTGGTCGGAGCCCTCTGTCACTCCTGTTCCCACGTCCTCCCAGAGGGGGCTCCGGTTTCCCTGTCTCCCCCAGAGAGGGTTCCTGTTTCAGAGTTTAGCCCTGAATGCCCAGAGGCTCACAAATGCCCGCCCACCTGCCCGCTCCTGCCTCCTCCACCGCTGTCATCTGGCAGCCCCTCTGCTTGCCCTCAGCCCCCCATCAGTACGGTGCAAGCTCAGCGGGTCTGCCATTCTCCATCGTCACCGTGGCTGGAGAATCCCTGGCCTCCGCCTCCAGCCTCTGAGTCCTGGACTCCGCATCAGCCCATCAGCCCATCGACCCAGCGGCTCCACTATGGCTCCTAGCGCCCTCTTCTCCGCCGTGGCCCATCTGTCCACTGGCTCAACCGGGCTCCCTCGTCCCTCCGCTTTGGTCTGTCATTGACCACCCATCACCTCGAGACTCCACTCCTCTGGCTTCACCTCGTCCCTTTGTCCCTCCGGCTCTGTCAGGCTCCTCCATCCCTTCGGCTCCACCTGGGTCCTTTGTCGCTCCGGCTCCACCGTGGCCTTCTGGATCCCCTCCTCCGTATCGGTCACCTGAGCCATCTGCTCTGCCTTGGACCTCTGGATCCTCCCCGTCACCCTGGCTCATCGGCTCTCCTTCTCTGCCTTGGGCTCCTCTGCCACATGCTCCGCCTCCATTGGTCGGCCCCTGGAGTTGTCGGCCCTTCCTCCTCCATGACTCCTCCCTCCGCCGGCTCCACCGTGGGTCGCCATCATGGCTGTGGCCTGGGTCCTGCTTGGCTCCTCCTGCGCCGGTCTCATCCCTGGCTCCTCCCTCCTTCATCACCTCCTTGGACTCTGCCTGCCGGCCCCCTCCCGGGTGTCCATCCTCCTCCTGAGCCTCCTCCCAAGTTCCCACCCATCCCTCCCCATGTTGTAACTACAGTGCGAGGACGCGCCGTCCGGGAGGGGGCAATATGTCAGGATTATGAACCTGTTTTGTGTGTGTTTTCTCCCTCATGTGCCCATATTTGGTTGTTCCTGTTCCTGTTCGCGTTGTCTCGTTATTAGTTGATTCCCCTCACCTGTCGTTCCCTCATTTAGAGTAGTATTTAGGGTGCAGTCTGCCCCATGTTTCATTGTTGGGTCTTATATGTCTTGGCGTTGTGCTACTTGTGTATGCTCCTGCCTGCTCTGTGTTACCCCTTCTAAGGATTATTAAAGAGTGTTGTTTAAGTTTACTCCACGTCTCCTTGTTCCTCGCTCCTCACAGTAGGCAATCGTGACAACTGAAAGTCTTTGGGATATGCTGGAGTAGACACTGCCTGTCTAAAAAAAGTTGCACACTCTTATCTAGTAATTATTCTTTCGCCTTTAGAATCAGAATCAGAACCAGAATCAGAATGAACTTTATTGCCAGGTATGTTTACACATACAAGGAATTTGTTTTAGTGACAGAAGCTCCACAGTGCAACAGAATGACAGTGACAGTGACAGGACAGGACACAGATAATAAAAAGAATAATATAGACAAAATAGACAATGTACAAAAAAGCAAAAACACAATATATAATTGTAATACAGTTCGTAGTTCGAAAGAAGGATGAGGAAGTCAGGGGTGGCGGGTAAACCTCTTTATTTTCCCCCGAAACAAAAATAGAACAAAAAATAAAGTGCTGCTCGGCTCTCTGCCTCCACAGTCTTGCATATGGTCACAAACGCACACTGCTCCAACTCTCTCTCGGATACCGCCCTCTCCCATAAATAATGTATACTAGTGTTGTGTGTTCCACGATTATTGTTAAGTGTTCATGAGATGGATTGCCTGAGGAAAGAAACTGTTCCTGTGTCTGGTCGTTCTGGTGCTCAGTGCTCTGTAGCGTCGACCAGATGGCAACAGTTCAAAGAGGGAGTGTGCTGGATGTGAGGGGTCCAGAGGGATTTTGCTAGCCCTTTTGCTCACTCTGGATGAGTACAGTTCTTGGAGAGAAGGGAGGGTTGAACCAGTGATTCGCTCAGCAGTCCGGACTACCCTCTGTAGTCTTCTGAGGTCAGATTTGGTAGCTGTGCTGAACCAGACAGTTATTGAAGTGCAGAGGACGGATTCAGTGATGGCAGAGTAGAACTGTTTCAGCAGCTCTTGTGGCAGGTTGAACTTCCTCAGCTGGCGAAGGACGTACAACCTCTGCTGGGCCTTTTTGACAATGGGCTCAATGTGATTATCCCACTTCAGGTCCTGAGAGATAGTGGTGCCCAGGATCCTGAATGTCTCTACTGTCGTTACAGTGCTGTTCATGATGGTGAGTGGAGGGAGTGCAGGGGGTTGTCTGTCAGGAAGCTGGTGATCCACTGACAGACGGAGGTGGGTAATTCAGGAGTTAATTTGGGCAGGAGGAGGTTTGGGATGATAGTGTTAAACGCCGAGCTGAAGTCCACAAACAGGATCCTCACATAAGTCCCTGGCCTGTCTAGATGTTGCAGGATGTAATGCAGTCCCATGTTGACTGTATCATCCACAGACCTGTTTGCTGTTGAAGATCTGTGTGAAGATGGGGGCCAGCTGGTCAGCACA